TTTTTACTGGTGTTCTGTGAAGCTTATCCAACCTCGCAAAAGTAGCTATGAAAGAACACAATTTTGGACAGAGCATGGAGAGGTTAACTGAACGAAATGAAATGAAATTGTTGTATCCGAATTAAACTCCCAAATAAACAGCACCAAAGCAAACACTGACCAAGATTATCTGTGCTATGATGTCATTTCATGTTTCAGTTGAACTTTTGACAGCCTATATGCTGATTAACCCGTGCATCAGCCAACAAGATACAGAGTGGGGTGGGGCTTCAGTCAAACACGTCAATTTTAAACAAAATGGAAGAAAAAAAATTTCTGTGGTCAACTCACATCCAGCGGTAAACAATACAGTTCTAAAGGTCTTCATCAGCTTACATCCAGAGCTGTACAATCCAGATCAAAAGATATAGTAGGACAGCAAATGGTTGATTAAAACTCACACTTTTTTTTTTGCTTCTATTAAAACAAGATCAACACCCGCCAATAGATTCTGCTCATCAGCTTTCATAATTGAATGAGTTTGCCGCTCACATCTATCTCTGCCTGCAAACACACCCACAACAAACCTGGAACGTCTTGTAAGCACTTTTCTCAAACCGTGTTGCGTTATTAAATAATCTCAAATAGACTTGAATATGTGATTTCTGATGATGTATGACATGCTTTTATTTATAAACATGTATCAAAGTTCAGCCAATATTCAGAAACCAAACCAGGAGGCCTACGTTGGCCTCATATCTCCGGTGCAAAACCGGCAAAGCTGATCACCAAACATGTCTTGGCAAAGCTCATCCACATACAGCTAGTGACAAATGTCTCCCTATCTATTCAAGTGTGGTTAGAAACTTTAGTGGTGCATTATCTAGAAGGTGATGTATGACCAAAGTAAGTGACACTGACCATAAAATCCACGTTTGTAGTGACCTTCACACTAATCAACATTCACTGTGTGAGCTTTGGGTTCGTGCCTGATGAATGTTCCAGTTTTTTCTCTCTCGGAATTGACCTTCAAAAGTGATTACTGATGATTACTTCCAGCATGACCGTGTACATTATCAAAGAATGTGTTGATCCAAGACGTTGAATGGGTTAGAAGACCTTTTTTCTAAGCTTAATGGAAACTATTAGCTTTGAGTCGTACAGAAGGTACCTATCTACAGCTGTGTTCCTTCAAGAAAACTAACTGATGGAAAAGTCTGTCTAAGCTGTGTTTAAATAAGGGTTGGTGGTTTCTATATTCTAGATAAATGAATCTTAAGTAAATTTGTTCCTGGGTTAATTTATCACTGCACTTACATTTTACGTATCATTACAAATCTAATTCAGATTGATTAAGATAGGAACTCGTACTAATGAGAAATGATAGACTTCAGCTGAGACTAATCTTTTCTTTTAATTCCAGACCAGCTATTTCTGCCCTGTAATCTGTTCTTCTCTCCGATAAAGCTGATTTTTCAACAATGTTGAAGCCAAATTATTTAATATGTAAAGAATATATGATTTAACAAATATGATTAATAATAAATATCACTTTATTATGAACACCTGTACACATGCAATTAGCAGTGCAACAATGCAGTGCATACAATCATGCAGATAAGGGCCAGCAGCTTCAGGTAATGTTTAATCAACAATCAGAAGGGGAAAAAGTGTGATCTCAATGATTTTGCCTGTGGCATGACTGTTGGTGCCAGACTGATTTAGGATTTTTTCTGTAACTGCTGATCTCCTGGGATTTTCATGCACAACAGCCTGTAGAGTTCACTCAGAATGGTGCAATAAAGAAAAAACATCCAGCGAGCATCTTAAATAACTGCGATCATCCCAAATCACTGTGATTATGCAATTCTGTAATACTTGTGGCAGGCCTATGTTAAAGCTCAACACAGTATGTGTTTAAGTCCTGCAATAAAAACAGACAATCAGTTTGCTGATAAATCAAGTAGGAAAAGCCCTCCCTCTTTATAGAGATATGCGCATGCACAGCAGGCAGAACAAGCTACAAAAACACATTTTGTGTGTTATTTAGGCCAAAACTCCACATACTACTTATGCTGAGATTTCAAATATGTTTTTGAAATGTTAATGTGGCTTTTAGTTTTGGGTTTATAGGACTCCCCTCATTCACAGAGATAGGAACCTGGTCTTGTACGACTGGAAATAACTGCCCTGCCCTGTCAACAGTCCAGGCTGGTGGAGGTGGTGTAATGTGTGGGGAATGTTTCCTTGCTACACTTTGGGCCTGTTAATGCCAATCAACCATCGTTTGAATGCCACAGCCAATTTGAATATTGCTGCTGACCATGTGCATCCTTTCATGGTCAAAATTAACTCATCTTCTAATGGCTACATCCAGCATGATAATGCACCATGTCACAAAGCAAAAGTCATCGCAAACCGGTTTCATAAACATGACAATGAGTTCAGTGTTCTTCATTGGCCTTTCCACTCACCAGATCTGAACCCAGTAGAACATTGCCAATCGCCATATTATTCAGGCTAGAAACTTAAGGATCATGTATCATATTTAAAGGGAAAAAGCATTATCGGTGAGTCCCTAGTACCAGTTTTGCACAAGAAACGTGAAAAGAATAGACGTCACGCTTCAGACCTTTTACTGTTACTTTGTTAAAGCTGATCAATAAAAAGCGTCTCTATAGTGATGTGAATTGTGTTTTGAATGTGTGCGCACACTTACTCAGAAGCGATCATTGTGTGTCCAACAATAAGGACAGCATGGAGCTTCTTTTATACAGTTATAGAAAACACAGTAGCTCTCAGAAAACTCCAATTCCACATGCTGATCCATTTTACTGGACATGCATGAACACCAACAACTCTGGAGGCAGATGTTAATCAGTAAAAGGAGACAAACAGAATGAATAGATTCCACTGTCAATTGCAGTTTATCTTTTTACATATAACAGATGTGCTTGTCTTATAATGAGTTAATAATGTTATTTCCATTTTTTCCACACCAGACTCTGTCAAACATCTGCACACACATACAGAGAGAGAGAAAGAGAAAGAGCGAGAGAGAGAGAGAGAGAGAGAGAGAAAGAAAGAAACAGAAAGAGAGAGAGGAAAGAAGTGAGAAGTGTAAAAAGAATCTTTGTAAGAAGAATGATTTGGCATTTAAGACAATCCCTAATTCTCCTTTTATAAGATTGTAATAAAAGATAATAATGCTATAGCCTCACACTACTTTATTCACACACACACACACACACACACACACACACACACCCATACACACACACACATGCTCTACTGATCTACGTTTAACAGACATGCAGCACATTTACACTCAGATTCTGTACAAAATAGGCGATTTGATATTATATGGACTTTAACTCAGCATACAAATCATCATATTATCCCAATATAACACACTATAACATATTAAACCTACAAACCTCTGTTCAAAAGATATATTGAGTGCATTTAGTAATAAAGTATCGACTCACTGAATGTGCATAATTTGTTAAAATAAACGATTTGCTTCACCTTTTTATCCCTCAGAAAAAAAAAACAAAAAAAAAACTACACAGCAGGAGAGGCAGAAGAGCAAACTCCATGAAATTAAACACAGCCACATCTGACAAAGGTCATTAAAAAAACTGGAAAGACAGGATAACTTGTGGACATGTGCAACCAAATAACTGAAACAATGGTTCCATATATATTTGTTTCATAGCAGTAATTTGTGGATTTGTTCTGCCAAAGTAATGAAAAACTGAACTCATAAGTCTCATAAACAAAGTAATGTTTTAACCCCTAAACTGAAAGGGTCTGTATGTGGGTCTACCTTTCATTTCCTTACCTTATATATTAGTTTCACAGCTGCTAATAAATAATATATACCAGTAAAAGGAAAATAAGCCTCAAGATTAATTAAATAATAGTTGAATATTAGGTCTGGACTTTAAGGGGTTAAAAAAAACCATACGTCTCTGAGAGAAAAAGAACTACATGGAAATGGATATTTGGAGCCAAATTGATGCAAAAAACAATTTAATATTTTCACCTGTTTCAAAACATGTTTTATCTTTGTAAACTCTGTAAACTCTAAGTCTATGTGGGGTCCACCCTTCAACTCCTTACCTTATATATGAGTTTAGTAACAGTAATTTAGTAAAGTATACAGACTAGTATCTACATAATTCATAGTAGATACTGAATAATTCATAGTAGTTACTCAATAATGTATAGTAGTAGTAGAAAAATTCACAGCATGTACTGAATAATCCACATCAAATGTTGAATAGTTTATATTTATCAAAGAAACTGAATAACACTTCCACATCTGAAGGTTACCAAGAAGGAACCAACAGGATAACTTCTGCTTATATCCAGCCACAGTAAAAAAAAATGAAGCAATATCTCACAAATAAGTATTCTGACCCCTTAACCCATCTGAGGCTGCATTTCTCGTTTCAGTTCCTTACATTATATATAAATAATTTCAAAATAAATCAGAGCAATTGCTAGTAGATCAAAGAGTAATAGTAGTGTTACTGAATCATAAGGCTTAAGATTATTAAGTGAATAATAAGCCTGCAGTTTAAGGGGTTAACACATCCACTTCTGAAGGTTAGACAATAGAACAACAGCAGAACTTGTTGATATAAACAGCAAAAGTGATAAAAAACTGAATATCTCAGAGTTTTAACTCTAAGCGTCTGTATCCACACTGAGTCCACACTTCACATGCTCACTCTCATAACTACAGAACTTACACATCAGTGCAATTTTGTGGAAATATCAAGCCAAAGTGACAAAAAGCTGAACCAATATCTCACAAACAAACAAGTGTTTTAAATATAGACGCTTCTCTCAGTGAGCGGCTGATTTACTATGACTGACCAGCCGCCGTATTAGGGCTTATGGTTTCCTCCTCTTTCTCCACAGGGACTCTGCACCTGTTAGTCCGGAGATCCACACACACGCATACACACACTTATACAAACAGAGAGAGATCTTCTCCAAGCTGGACTCACCTTCACTCTTTTCCTCTTTCAGTCTTTTCCACTCTGTGATCTCTACACTCCTACTGAGCCTTAGCTGCCAGTAAAATCCACACTCAGAGAGAGAGAGGAGAGAAAGTGAGAAAGAAGGAGTGCTGATCCATCCAGCTGCCTCTGCAGGACCACAGAGTGTGAGAGAGAGAGAGAGAGAGAGAGAGAGAGAGAGAGATAGGGAGAGATAGGGAGAGAGAGGGAGGGAGGGAGGGAGGGACAGCTAAAATAGAGTATATAGAGAAAGAGGGATGGCTAAGAAAGAGAGGGCTTAAAGAAAAAGAGATGGGGAGGGAGTGCAAAAGACAGACAGAGAGTAAAGGAAAGAGTATGTGACAGAGAGTGAAAGAGAGAACGAGAGAGAGAGATGAGGAAGCGGCAGAAGGAGAGCTGGTTTCCTATTACACTTCTCCACTTGAGCCTCCCCTCTACTTTTTTCCCCTCCCTCTCTCTCTTTCTCTAAATGTCCCTCCCTCTCTCTCTCCCTCTCTCTTCCTCTAACGAGACAGTAGAGGGATCATCCACTCTTTCCAGTTCCAGGCCCTGTGTGTATGTGCATGTATTCAGTTCTTTCTAGGGACCAAATCCCCACAGCCTGACGAAAACGTGAATGTGTGGCTGTGGGCAAATTTAGCTGCTCTCCACGAGGAAAAACGCTCTTTACCCAAAAACTGCACTACTCTTCATCCTTCACTGTCTCTACTGAAATGAAGTACACAGGAAAGGCAGACAGGTGAAATTTATAAAATGAAACATGACCATGCCTGATGAAGATTATAAGAAAGAGAATGACAAGATAACTTGTGGAGATATCCAACCAAAGTGCCGAAAAAATAAATGATCATTCATTTTTTACATATATTTTTGTTTCATAGTAGCTACTGTCTAAAGTAGCAGTTATTGAATAATAAGTCTTAAGAGGTTAAAACACATCCACTTCTATACAGTAAAAAATAACATCAGCATTTATACAGCCAAAGTAATGAAAAACCGAACAAAGATCTCAAAACGAACTCATTTTTTAGCTCCTTAAACTGCATCTGTGTCCACACAAAGCTTGGACAACAATGTAAATTCAGACACACAATTGTCATCTTCAGAATTATGTCAATAAACAGTATCATCATGATCCAAATTCAGTTATAAAGTACCACATGTAAGAGTCTTAAGCTGCATTCACATGTTTGCAGTAGACAGATGACTGCAAACCATATATTCCATTGTTTTAAACGGAGCCACGATGAAAAATTCTGCCACCACAAGTGGCAAGGGTCCACAGACTGCAGCGGTGAGAGGAACGCCCCATATAGAGTTCAATTTTCCCAACTTTTGCCGTCGACCTCAGTGGTGGAATAAATCAGGTGTTCATTTTTTGGGAGCCATGGACGCCAAATGTCTTGGTATTGTACAACAACAACAAAAAAAAGAGTACAGTAATGATAATATAATTACATTACATATATATAAAACATATAATTACATAACATATAATTGCCAACTGAGTTAGCTTCTAATATAGCTTAAAACTTCTAATATAACTTATAACTTATATAACAATAACTATATACTGCACAGACAACATGTAATGTTGTGGATCTCCACCTTTGTTTGGTTGGAAACCAAAATACTGCCAATCCATTTTACTCTGTACCTAAATTTGAAAATATATTGGCATTTATATAAATTATTAAACTATTCAGTAGTATTATTTATGGCCCAAGGCTAGTCCACACTTCATTTTTTTTATTGTATATACTAATTTCATAGTTAATATTGAATAATTTATATGAGTAACTGCATAATAACTATAATAAGCCTGAAGTTTAAAACGCATCCATATTTGATTAAAAAAAGAGAGAACTAGATAACTACTAGCTAATCTCTCTAACTTGAAGGGCCTGTTTGTGGGTCTGCACCTCAATGTCTTACCTTTAAGATTAGTTTCATAGTGGCTTTTGAATAATATATGAATAATATATGAATGTGTCTTAAGATGAATAAGTGAACAATAAGACTCCAGTTTAAGAGATTAAAACACATCCACTTCTGAAGGTTATAAAATAGAGAACAACAGCACAACCTGTGGATTTCTTGTAGCCAAACTAATAAAAAACTAAACTAATGTCTCACAAACCCTGTAAACTCTAAAGGTCTGAAAGGTCTGTGTGTTTTATAGTTGCTACTGAATAATTTGTACTGGTAGGTGAATAATATGCCTTGATACTGAGTAAACCATGGCTTTTCTTAGTGAAAGAGGCCAAATGGTCTCTCACACACACACACACACACACACACACACACACACAAGCACACACACACACACATGCACACACAAGCACACACACACACACACACACACACACACACACACACATAACACATAACACATAACAATAGACGCTATAGATGTATTGTCCAACTGATTCAGCTGATATAGAAGGTTCCATAAATTTATTGGCATCGACAACATTCACACCCATGAAGCACCAGTGTTCAGTGGCTTGTTTTATACTGTAACAAGCCAAAACTTGACTGACTATAATGTCAGTCATTGTTTAAACCTATCTTACCTAACCTATTATCAGTTGTCCTTTCAGTTGTCCTTTGTTTAACTGGTTAAAATCTACCTCCATAGTATCTGGTGTCCACATGTGTCATAGTAAAATGAATCAGCATGTGGAATTGGAGCTTTCAGTGTGTTTCCTATCACTGTATAAAAAAAGCTCCACACTGCCCTTATTGTTGGATGCACTGCGATAGTTTCTGAGCAAGTTTTTAAGAACACACATTCAGAAAGCAATTCCTATCACTATGGAAACATGTATTATTCATTTGTTTATTCAAATGAATAAAAACACTGAAGTGTGAAGTTTACTGTGTTTCTTTGTTTTAAAATGTTTAAAACTAGTGGGCGACACAAACAAAATGAAAATATTAAAAAAAGAATAACAGATTTTCAGATGAAAATAGAACATTTTCATCATGTTCTATTCATATAAGCATAAGAAGAGTACATTAATTATTTTTAAAATAGATGTCAGTTATCAGATTTTTTTGCTCTATAACAATCAGTACCAGTATCAATTGCACATTTTTCATACTGGTCAGGATGATGACACTAGGCTAGAGATTGTTTAATTTTAGATTAGGTGCTTTTAATGTTCTGTGTTAGCCTATTTTCTGCCATTCTGTGAGATTTTGTTTAGTTTCTGTTTATTTTCAGGAATGATTTTGTTCATTTAAGTTAAAATATGCATATCCACCCACCAACTCCACAAAGACGCAGCCACAAAAGCATTCAGTTTTCAGTCTCCACACAACACAATTTAAACAAGCGCTGGAACACTGCATCGGCTGTGAAGGTGAAATATTACCACTGTTGGACTCTAAAATGATCCTTTGGTTTGGATGTCTGGCTCAAGCCTTTTACAAAAGCTGCACGCCTCAGCAATGGAATTACAATGGCCTTTTCCTCCGTGCTCCTCTGCCAGGTCATTAATTTCAGGCACTGAAGAATGTGAGGGTTATGTTTGCCATAGCTGGCACACAGACATGACAGCTGAATAATGAAAACCATAGTAGAATTAAGAAATCTACAATTGTATGACAGTTTTAAAAAGGGCTTTATATGGTTATGTGCACATGTGTGGGTGTATTGGGACATTTGTTCCTATTCTGGAGCTATATTTGAAATGAAATATTTTAAAAGAAATTCCAGTTTGAACTGCAACATTTTATGTAAAGTTTTATTGCATTTCTGTATTATTTAAAAATTTCTGTGGAATCCACAAGGGCCCAGATAAATACTAAAACAAGGACACAACGTGTCATTGATGTGAATCACCAGCATGTGTTACTTAGTTCTAGACAGCATGCACTTCTTGCATGTCCACAATGTTCAATAGACTCATCTATTTGAGCTAACACAAGATTGTTTTCACTATTGCTACTAGAGTGCCAGTAGCTCCCCCTTGTGGACAATCTGGTTAAACATGAGTGAGTGAGTGAGTGAGTGAGTGAGTGAGTGAGTGAGTTACAAGCCAGGTCCATGAGGTGCTTTGCATCTAAAAAACACAAATAACATTAAAGACCAAATAGCACTGCATCTGCGAACATGTGCTGAGGTTGTGCGCAGTCATTCGCAAAGGTGTCAAAGTTGCCAACATGCTGGAACATTTTTGAGTGTGTACACTAGAGACAGTGTCCAAACCAGATAGTACAGAAAATGAAGAGGAAAGATTTGACTTTTTCCTGTGTTTCCTGTTTTTATAACTTTGAAAATGGGTTGCATAAATGGCTGTGTTTACATGCAAAGATTTTTGCCAATCTGATTGAATGCATTATGATTATAGATTAAGACTGAGGTGTTTACATGCACTCTACTCAACAATCTGATAGAAAATCTCCACTTACATGCACACTACAAGTAATCCAGTCCAAAATTACGCATCTGCATAGAGTACCACTTAGATATTACCATGACAATAAGCATCATGTCCAGTTAGAGTGAGATGAGCAGCAGTGCGTTACCTGAGTTTTCAGCTGGTACACTTGTGTTTTTAATTGCTTTAAAATTATGGCAGACTCTGGAAAACGTACTTCACATGTACTTATTAAAGAAGGGTGAGAGGAAGACGTCGTGTTCTGAGACACATAAGCTGGATGCCGGTCCCACCGCCATCTTTTAAAGTTTAAAGCATAAACTTTGTCTCCTCTGCAGACTAGTTTCTGCTCCAGCCATGTTGAACATTATAAACTTTCGCTACGACGCAACCGCGCATGTGCAAAACATACTTAAACTTTCCGATTGGGAATGTAATCAGATACAAGCATTTATTTATTATTCTTTAATTTCTATCTACAGGATTATCCACCTCATTCAATCAAATTGTATTCCGAATGGGCTCAATTGGACTAGTCTTCCTTTTGAGGTGTATACATAGATGTATTCAATTCCAATTGAGTCAGATAATTAACTGATTACTAAGCTGCATGTAAACATGGGTAATGTTTGTCTTCTACCAGCCAATCCCCTAAATACTCCATTTTGATTTTGAGCTAGTTCTGGTTTGAGTTTGGGTCTTGTCCTGCCCGCAAAGCTACAGGGATTCAGATGATGCATGGTTGAAATTTTGGAGGCATGCATGTCATGGCCTCAGCTAGGCTTACCAATGAACCCTTTTGTGCGTATCGACGCAGATACATTTACATGCATCTTTGCAGAATTATAAATCAGCCTTAGGTTAGTTAGCTAGAGGTTTATCATTATATGTTGGGCTAGTTTTACTCTCACATGAAAGCTAACACAATTTCATACAAACACTGTAGCCAAATTATCCA